ATTTTTACAATATAAAAAAAAATATATATATATATATATATATCTCTCTCTATCTATCTATATATATATATATATATATATATATATATATATATTTATATATATATATATATATATATATATATATATATATATATTTATATTTTTATATTTTTTTTTTATATCTATAGATATATATATATATAAAAAAAAAAAATAAAAACAAAAAAAAATATATAAAAAAATATATATATATATATATATATATATATATATATATATATATATATATATATATATATATATATATATATATATATATATATATATATATATATATATATATATATATATATATATATATATATATATATATATATATATATATATATATATATATATATATTATTCTTATTATTATTCTTATTATTATTATTATTATTATTATTATTATTATTATTAACTAAATAGTAAATAGTCTATAATAATAAATATATCTAGTATTTAAATAAAAACAAATCTATATTACTTAAATAATTCATAATTATATAAAATATAATAATAATAATAATAATAATAATAATAATAATAATAATAGAAAAAATAAAAAATATATATATCTAGAGTTCATTATTTATTTTATAATTTTTTTTATTTTCCTATGAATAATTTCTAATAAAAAAATAATTTTAATAAAAAAATTAAATAATAAAAAAAAATAAAAAAAATTAATAAGCCTGAGCTCGAGCTCGCCAAAATTGGCTCGAGCTCGAGCTCGAGCCAAAAAAAATTGGCTCGATGAGCTCGAGCTCGAGCTCGAGCTCGGGAACATGGACTCGAGCTCGAGCTCGAGCTGGCCAAAAGAGCCGAGCTTGGCTCGAGCTCGGCTCGTTCCCACCCCTAGTTTTAATCATCACTTGCAATATGGTGGCTCACCTAACTTATGATATCTGTCCTAGAGAATAATACAGTTTTGGGCCATCCTATTTGACCCGATTTCACTTTTGATCCTATTTTACTTTAAAATGAACAAAATAAACATCAAAAGTTCAATTTTAAACACATTTGGTCCCCTCTGTACTTGCCCGTTCACATCTAATGGAAAACCCAATTTTTGGGCAAAAAATTGAAATTTAAAATTATTTTGGAGCAGGAAATGAATATAGTTTTAACTATTATTTTACTATTTTATATGTTTTAATTAGAAAAAATAAATTTAAGAAAGTAACTACTTTTGGGATCTCGCTGTCTGCCCGCTACCGTCACAGTCCCCGTCTTCTTTTGCTGAGAGCAGATGCTTCAGCAAGGAAGGCGCCGCTACCGACGATGAAATAGATGACGAAGAAATTGTGCAAAATTGTGTTTTCCATTAAGTGTGAACACGCAAGTCAAGTAACCGAGGAGACTAAATGTGTTTGAAATTGAACTTTTAATATGTATTTTATTCACTTCAGAACAATAAGGACCAAAAGTGGAATCGGATGAAATATGAGGGGTCAAAAATGTAATTCTCCCGTTGTCCTACGATTCATTTAATTTCCTTTTGTAATTGATTGTATGTGGACTGGCAGCAAGAATCACTAGAAAAAGCAGCATTCTGGCATTAATCATCTATTTCTTCTTTTCTTTCTATTTCTTTACTTCTTTTTTTTTCTTCTATTTGTTTTTTTTTTTTTTTTTTCTTTTTGCCTTTTTCCCTGGTTGGTGGTGGAGAGGAGAAAGGAGATCTGTCAGGTCATGTTTGTTAGTAGGCTGTAGTTTTACTTTTGAAGTGTATTTGTTTATCTTTTTATTTTTATTTTTAAAATTAAATTTAAATCCATTTAGAAGCAAGAAAGTAGGGTTTTTGTTTTATAAGATAGTTAGCTAGCGTGGATTTCTTCATGCAATTGCCCTACCAACCGATTTTCTACCAATAAATTTCTATCGAACGACAATGGTCGAATAACGTACTGTGTCGAAATATTTTAGTAGGACAAGGGTACTCAATATCATTACTATGGTATTATTGTACCATACCGAAATATTAATAAACAAAATAAATAGAATTATAACTTTTATTTAAAAAACTTACATAAAGAGAAAATATACTACTCCAAGTATGCAAAATAATTTTTTACTAGTTAAAACTAGTTATTATAAGAGCATCTAGAAAGATAAGTGGTAAAAATTGAAACGTTAGGGCATAAAATTTGAACAAAAAATTGTGTAAAGAAATGTTGTGCAGCAAAAATTAAAACAACATAAAATTTAAATCATTATCCACAAGTTATACCACAAGTATATAACTTGTGATATAATTTGTGGATGTGCTTTTACAGTGAAAAACTTTTATTAAACCAGTATTCAAAGAATACAAAAGAAAGTAGTAGCGATCTCTTTTAATGATATTGAAAACAAAGTGAGGAAAAAAAACAAACAAAACAAGGTGCAGTAGGAGGCGTTCCAACACCCAAAATTCTCTCCTATTTATAGAACTCGAGAGAGCTCCTTGTTCTACATGAAATAAACACGCTAGAGAAGATAATGAGTTAGTGTATTAATTAAACACGTGCTAAGATAATTAATCACTAAGCTATAAATAGCTGCCCACTAACTAGCAATAATAAATCAAATTATTTAAAATAAATAAAATTGATTTAAAGAAAGTTAAATAAATAAAATATATTTGATTGTAATAGTAAAATATCCAACATGAATAGTTGAATGCTACATATAACATTTCCCTCTGTTATTGTATCATCTGAGCTAAAATATCTTACCATTGGAGTTGAATTGTTCTCTTTACATAAGATAAAATTCTATATTTTAAATTTATAGCTCTCCAAATATATCATGGTTGGATGGAGATGCTCGTTATAACCTTTGGGAATAACAAACATACATTGAATGTAATCTTTAGTAGTGACGTACACTACAAGAAAACAGGGCTTTAGCGACAGAAATTTAGTGACAGTAACGATTGTCACTATTTACTAACACATTGCCGACAGATTTGTGACAAAATTATGTATGTTTGCGAGAGATTTAAAGTTCGTCGGTACTCTATTGCTAATCTTGCGACAACACCATCTTTTGTTGCTACTCTGTCGCAATACTACGACATAATCAAGTTTCGTTGGTAAATGGTCGTTACTGCGACGAGGGATTTAAAGTTCGTTGCAAATTCATCAGTAATTTTATCTTTTAGCTGTATTTTGTCAGTAATTCATCTGTAATGCTGCGACCGTATTTTTTCCGTTGCCAATTTAATGGGGGAGCCACAAAATTGAGCTTTACTGACAGAAATGTAGCGACAAAAATGTCTGTCAATATTTAGTGACAAAGTTGCCGTCAGATCATGTGTGACGAACTAATAAATATTTGCGAGCGATTTAAAGTCCATCGGTAATCCGATGGTGATCTCGCAACAACACCATTTGTTGTTGCTACTTCGTCGCCCATATTCCGACGAAATCAAGTTTCAATGGTGAATAGTCGCTACGTCTGCGAGGGTTTTAAAGTTCATCGGTAATCCGTTGTGGATCTTGCGACAACACCATTTATTGTTGCTACCCCGTCGCCGATATTACGTCGAAATCAAGTTTTCTGAAAAGGCTAATTACGATCCGTTCCATCCAACTTTCACCCCTTTGTTTAATGAAAGAACTTTCAATGTTACACAATTTAAAAAAGAAAAAAGAAAATTTAAACACATAAAAATTAGTCTCGGTTTGTCAATTTTCATAATATGTTGGAATTAATAGAATATTTTTTAGAGAAAAAAAAAATCATCTACATTAATTAGTAATTACAATATAACCCACCCAGATCACAAAAAAAAAAAAGGAAAAAAAAAAAGAGATAAACTTTATTTCCTATGATGGAAAAAAAAGAAAAAAAATTGAGAGAAACTAACCCACCCCATTGCACGTCCAGCAAATTACTTCGGAACTTTGGAATAGGAAAATTTTAAGTTTGAAGTCATATAATTTCAATTTTCAATAGGACTCTTGCATTAAAAACTAACTAGAATTTTTTCCCCGTACGATGCACGGGATATTATTTCAAAAGTGAAATAATCAATTTAATACATAAAAAGAAAATATCGTACGCTAACATAGTAAAATTTAATAATGTAGTATTATTCATATTTTATATAACATTGATTTTTTTTAAATCTGACGTATTAAGATTTATAATCCAAATATATAGATTAAGATTTTAAAAAATCGTATTTCTATCTTTATCTCTTAAGATTTGAGATATATTGATGAAAAACCGGAGATTGATAATTGTTAAAAGTTATAGTTAGAAATTAGTGGAGAAAATATATTAAAAATAAATAATTACAGA